CGCTACTACTACTATACCTGCTAACCCCAAAAAACTGCTGCTATACTATAACTGCTGCTGCTACACTAAAAACCCCACTACTTACTTTCAACTCCTCTACTACTACTAACTGCTGCACACTACTATACGCCTACACTACTATCTCGTACTATTTAAACTGCTGCGCAACAACTATACGCAAACTACTATAACGCGCTCTACTACATATGCGCTACACTACAAAAGCTGTTTTTTGCTCTACTACTATACTGCTGCGCTACTACTTACTGCTACTACACACTTACTGCCGCTACTACTATACCTGGCCTACTACTATACGCGCTCTACTACTAACTGCCTGCTCTACAAATTTTCTCCACTACTATACTGCTGCCTACTACTATCGCTCCCCTTACAATTTTCCCACTACTATACCCCCCGGGTTCTACAAAAACCCTTACTATTACTCCTACTACTACAAACTGCTGCTACTACACTAAAACTGCTCTACTACTAATACTGCGCTCACTACAAAAACTGCCTAAAAAACATACCCTACATATCTGCTTCTGCTACTACATACTGCTCTACACACTATACTGCGGCTGCTACACTATAGCTGCTCTACTACTATACTGCCCCTACTAACTCTTACTATCGCTCAACTCCAAAACTGCTCTCTACTACTAATCTGCAAACCTTTAGCTCTCCTAAACTGCTGCTTACTACATACTGTGCTACACTACTATACTGCGCGCTACTACTATACTGCTCACTACTCAAAAACGCTGCTGCTTCTACTATACTGCTGCTGCAACAAACAAAAACGCTGCGCTTTACATACTCCCTGCAACTACACATACGCTGCTGCTATACTAACTGCTGGCCTACTACTGCAATATGCGCTACTACTACTAACTGCTGCTGCTACTACTATACGCTGCAAATACTACTATACTGCTGCGCTACTACATAGCTGCACTACTACTTTTACTGCTGCTACTACTACAAAACGCTGCTGCTACACTAAAAACCTGCTACACAACTATACGGGCTCTCAATGTTTCGCGCTGCTACTCTATACTCGCTACACTCAAACTTGCTCGCTACTGCTATACTCTGTGCACACAAACTGCTGCTGCACAAACTATACCTGCGCAACTACACACTGCTGCTACTATATACCCTGCACTACTACTATACGCTCTGCACTATTTAACTGGGGCTGCTACTACTACAACTGCGCTACTATATACCTGCGCTCTACACATACTGCTTGCACTACATATTTTCTGCACTACTATACTGCTGCTGCTACTACAACGCGCTGCACTCTAAAATGCTGCTGCTACTAAAAAACTGCTCCTACATTTAATCTGCGCTACTACATACGGGCCCCACTACTACATACTCTGCACTACTACTATACTGCTGCTACTACTAATTTCCGCAACTACTACAAAACTGCTCACTACTACATACTGCTGCTACTTACATACTGCTGCTACTATACTACCACAAAAACTACTACCCCCAAACTATCACAAAACCACCACCTACCCTACCTTTCTTGTGCCCAACTAACACATTACAATGTTTAAAAACCCACCACCATTTTCTCTGAAATAATTTACAGCCCTTTTCCCCTTCTTTAATTTTAAATCTCATCATTTCCAAAAAATTTTTCCTTTACCTTTTTTATTTTAAAAATTGTATAACTTTTTTTTACAAAAATATCAATGTACATGTTTTTTTACGTTTTAAGGGATTCATTTGCAATAAAAGGTTTGTTTTTTTTTTGTATGTTTTTTTGGGTATTCGATAAATATAATAACCAACCCTTTTCACGCACACGTTCAGACTACATAGTTTCGGCTTTGCAACATTTTTTATTTTCCCAGCTTTTGAAACCCCTGCGATTTATTGAATGAAATTTTAGTTTCGACCTAGATCTAGGAGTCGTAACGTTTGTCCTCCACGTGACTGTCACTCCAAGTGCTTTCATTGTAATCTACTGGCTACATTGAATATTGTATTTTGAAGGAGAGGAATGTTTCGCCACTGTACATTAACCTTGATCTCGTCAAACAACTGGTGGAGACAATGGGCAAGTATCATCCGGCATCTGTTAGGAAAGTTATCTCCAGACTTAGTGAGGCCAAGATTAATGAAGGTATGTATGTAGGATGGTAAACGTGCCTGTTTATGAATGAAGGAGTTTCTACTGGTAGTGAATGATTTAGCAGCGTGATAGTTGTTAAAGAATGTGCAACGGGTTTCAAGGCAGACATCCTTCAGCTAGAAGGCTCTGGTAGATGAACTACTGCAAATTTACCAACAACTGGGCTGCACCATATTACTCAAACCGTTTCTTCCACTTTTTTTTTTTACGATAATTTGTCTGATACGAGCGATAAACATGATTCCATCTGGATGTTGCAGCGCTAAAAACACGCTACAAAGCTAGATGGAGTACCTAAATGCTTGCTGATTTCTGCTGGGTGTTGTAATGAGACCAGCCAACCAAGGCTTTCAGACCACACAGCTAAACATTGTTCATATGTTCGTAGTTGGATACCATGACACTGCCTACATTTTGGTCGAGTTAAATCTATTGACACCACAAAGGCTATTAAGGCTGCATACAAGTTGTTCACTTGTGAGGGAACTATAACAAAATTTTTGTCGTGTAATAAAGTTGGTAGAATTACCGACAATATGTAAAGTAAAAGGACACAAGTGCAACTAATGTGACATTTATTGTGGCAACGTTTCGCTCTCCAGGAGCTTTATCAAGCCATTACGGCTTGATAAAGCTCCTGGAGAGCGAAACGTTGCCACAATAAATGTCACATTAGTTGCACTTGTGTCCTTTTACTTTAAAATTTTTGTCGATACATTATACTCAACTTTAGACTGATACCACTACTATGAAAATTACAATACCTACGGCTACAGAGATCGATCTGTGGTACCCTTACTTTAATCCTTAAACCAGTGTCTCCTATATAATCTCTCAAATATAATCATCGTATAAACACTGAAAGATACACCTCACGGTGTGTATATCATTTAGTACATGTTAGCGTATACGATTTTTATAACCTTAGTATATGCAACTGTGATATACTTGTATTTTATTTCTTTCACATTAGTTTTATGTTGGAGTTTAATATGAACATGATGGAATAAAACCTTTAATTTATAAAACTCTTATTTTAAAGAAAGTGTGATATGCTACACAAAAGCAATTATATATTCTTGATCAATATTGTTTAATGAATATGATATCAGATGGTGTGTGTGTAGTTTCAAAACTAAAATTCGATACTGTAATTATTACAGATGCATTGTGGATGAGCAACGAGGTTTTAGTGGGTAGGGGATGTGTAGATCAAGTGTTTACATTGAAGCATATATGTGAACAGTATTTAGATAAAGGTAGGGAAGTGTTTATTGCATTTATGGATTTAGAAAAGACATATGATAGTGGATAGGGGAGCAATGTGGCAGATGTTGCAAGTATATGGAATAGGTGGTAAGTTATTAAATGCTGTAAAGAGTTTTTATGAGGATAGTGAGGCTCAGGTTAGTGTGTGTAGAAGAGAGACTACTTCCCGGTAAAAGCAGGTCTTAGATAGGGATGTGTAATGTCACCATGGTTGTTTAATATATTTATAGATGGGGTGTGAAGGAGGTCAATGCTAGGGTGTTAGGGAGAGGGGTGAGATTAAATTATGGGGAATCAGATACAAAATGGGAATTGACATTTACTTTTTGCTGATACTGTGCTTATGGGAGATTCTAAAGAAAAATTGCAAAGGTTAGTGGACGAGCTTAAGAGTGTGTGTAAAGGTAGGAAGTTGAAAGTGAACATAGAAAAGAGAAAGGTGATGAGGGTATCAAACGATTTAGATCAAGAAAAAATGGATATCACATTGGAGAGAGGGAGTATGGAAGAGGTGAGTGTTTTCAGATATTTGGGAGTTGACGTGTCAGCGGATGGATTTATGAAGGATGAGGTTAGCCATAGAATTGATGAAGGAAAAAAGGTGAGTGGTGTATTGAGGTATATGTGGAGACAAAAATCATTATCTATGGAGGCGAAGAAGGGAATGTATGAAAGTATAGCGGTACCAACACTTATATGGGTGTGAAGCTTGGTTTGTAAATGCTGCAGCGAGGAGGCGGTTGGAGGTGGTGATGTCCTGTCTATGGGCAATGTGTGGTGTAAATATTATGCTGAGAATTTGGAGTGTGGAAATTAGGAGGTGTGGAGTTAAAAATATTAGTCAGAGGGCTGAAGAGGGGTGGTTGAGGTGGTTTGGTCATTTAGAAAGAATGGATCAAAGTAGAATGACATGGAGAGCGTATAAATCTGTAGGTAAGGAAGGCGGGGTAGGGGTCGTCCTCGAAAAGGCTGGAGGGAGGGGGTAAAGGAGGTTTTGTGGGCGAGGGACTTGGACTTCCAACAAGCATGCTTGAGCATGTTAGGAGTGAATAGACAAATGGTATTTGGGACCTGACGAGCTGTTGGAGTGTGAGCAGGGTAATATTTAGTGAAGGGATTCAGGGAAACTGATTATTTTTATATAGCTGGACTTGAGTACTGGAAATGGGAAGTACAATGCCTGCACTTTAGAGGAGGGGTTTGGGATATTGGCAGTTTGGAGGGATATGTTGTATATCTCTTTTCCGCATTTGCTTCTAAACTGTTGTGTTCTTTGCACCTCTGCAAAAACTGTGATTATATATGAGGCGAGTGTTGAATGATGAAAGTATTTTCTTTTTGGGTCACCCTGCCTCGGTGGGAGACGGCCGACTTGTTAAAAACAGTTATTACAAACCTGTGTAGTGACCACCAGAGGTACCTGGCTCTTAATGTTGTGGTTCACATCCTTGACAGAGCATCAAGGGACCCAGATTGAAATAAGCCACTGGCTTTCTTGAGTTATTCTAGGTTACTTAACCTTCATTTTTCTCCAGCTGAGTGAAATAATTATCTGTCCTCCATCGCACAGATCAGCCAGCTTCGTCACATCGCGGGGGATGTATGGGCGCGCCTCTCCCCCCTCCACGACACACACGCCCACCTCAAGCCACCACCGACACTCGTCCTCCACTCCCAGGGTGTACGGACCCTCCCTCACGCCGGAGACCCCACGAAGGGTACACCACGCCAGCGCCTACACCAGGAGGACCACATCTCTCACTGAGAGGAAGACTCACGTAAGTGTCTCGTCCTGGCTCCTCATTCAAAATAGTTCTGGTAGTGACCCTTGAAGGTGCCTTGGTGCTGGTAAAAAGCTCTTGATTCATACCTATTTACCTTTTATTTTCCAGGCGCTGTATGATCCTCGCGGGTTTAGTGGTTACCCATGAGCATAGTTTTGGTTGTAACGTAGAAAGCGTAGCTTCTTCCCTATGTAAGAGTTTAGTATGATTTATAATTGAAGAGTGGTTGGTTGTAAATATTTCACGAGTGATTGTTTTTGAGAGGAGTCTTGGCGAGTATGAAGACGAGCATCGTACAAAGTGAAAACTCTTCAACTAGTGCTTGGTTTCGTGCATTAAGATGCTGCATCCAAATGTTATACTGTGATAAATGGCTTTGAAAACCAACAAGTTGAAGATTGAGACACTTAGGCAACATATAAGAATTTTTATTGAAACGTTTCGCCACACAGTGGCTTCATCAGTCCAATACAGAGCAGAAAGGTGTATAGTAGTAGTATGATGGCTCCACTGTGATCCTCCTGCTTCCACTCACTTGACTAAGTATATAAGCCACTTCTTTGGGCTTATGTTGTACTTTCTATAAGAGTAATGGACTAAACACACAGATTCCAGGCTGAGGGACTGATTACCTCAAACTACTCCTTACACCTTTCTACTTTATATTGGACTGATAAAGCCACTGTGTGGCGAAACGTTTCTTCAACAAAGATTCCTATATGTTGCACAAGTGTCTCAATCTTCAAATGTTATACTGTCTACAGTAGTGAATAATACACAACCCGACTTGGAACATTAACTAGGCACACACAGACGAGCCAAGGTAGGGAGCTTTCCCCTCGTATATATACTGGCTACCTACCTTCGTGCTAATGTGTCTTACTAGTTAATGGTCCAAGCCGGACCGAAATGGGCCTTATTTTTTCTCCTCTGTGCAGGCTTTGTTTATTATTCCACTCGGAGTATTGTGCCTTTTCATTCTTTACAATAGTGAAGACACATTGTACAAAGCATTCATGATAAAAATCTACAGTGTGAAAAGCTGTCACAACACTTTTAGAAATTATAATGCAAACAAAAGGTAAACATAAGTGGATTTTATGATCCAAATTTCGATTAGACATAAGTCAGAGGAAAAAGGATTTGTGTACTTCGTTTTGCAGACGCTGTCGTGTTTCAGCATAACACAATGATATAAATTAAGCCATAGAATTTAGACTAAATTGTATTTTATTCATTACCCTCAGCTTTCTGCTCCATAAATAATTAAAATAATGATGCGCACCTTATTTTGAAATCAGACCCCATTCTTTATATATTATATGGTGGTTTCTGGAGTACATTGAATGTTTGTTAGTGTGAGAAAACACTCGTTGACAGAACCCACTCGAATTTTTTATTCGACCTTCATCCAATATTCTATTAAGTTGAAAAGAAATCTTATGTTAGAGGTGGCAGCATGCAGACGTTGTTGTGTCTGTTATCAAGATGTAGTTTGCTTAACAAGGGATGCTAGAGAAAGCGTCTCGCACACTTCCGGGGAGAAATCTTAATTTTTTTTCATGAGGTATGTTTAATCTCTTCTCCGAGGATTATGGTCCCCAATTAGCACTAGTGGTGGCATCCACCACCCCATACTGGGCCAGGAGCTAAGACTCGTCCCCTGCAACCCCGTATAAATGAGGAGAGACTCGCAAGCATGCACGTACGGGCACATTTATTTATACACTACATATTATATTTGTAAAATCTAGTATATATTTAATACAACTGCTACGAAAAATGAATGTAGCCTTCATGTGCTCCCCCTTCAGCAGTGACAGTGTGGTAGCACCTTAGACCACTCACCTACCACAACCTTGTAAGAGTGTGTGATGTACGTATTGACGCACTCATTCATTATTTTTTTTTATTTTACACAGGGTTTGACAGGGTTAAGGATCCCTAGCTTTATTGACAAGCTATTTACAAGTTAAGGATTCTTAACTTAATTGACAAGTTAAGAGCTGTTACCTACATCATCTCATTTGAAAGCATTTTCATTGCAATGAAACATACAAGCAGGGAACAGGATGAAGTTGAAGCCATCTGTGGGCCAGCATTTTCATTTGATCAACTGACTTTATCTCGTTAACATCATTATGTTGTACGAAAGTGTTCCATACTCGAGTCATCCTGGGTATATATGATCTCAGATGGAGTGATGTTCTGGAGAAGGGTACAGCCAGAGTGAAGTTGCTGCTTTCTGCCCGTTTTGTGGCATAGAAGCTTGTTTCACGCTGTCCTCGAAGTGGATCCAAGTGTGGTACTTTGACAGTATTGGCCTTGTAAATAACAGTAAGGCCACCCACATCCCTCCTGTGTTGAAGGCTCTGCTGAAATGACAGATCTATCCAGGATTGGTTCAGGCGAGAGATGAGACGTCTTGCTCTGTTCTCTACTGTCAAGCAGTTGCAGATGAGAAGGGGGGGGGGCAGACAAACCAAGAAAGTGGAGCATACTCAAGGTGTGAGCGTACTTGTGGCTTGTACAGAATCTTGCAAGCCCTACTGTCAAGCAGATGCGAGATACGGCGAAGTGCTGTAAGCTTCCTGGCTGCCTTGTTTGCAAGATTTACAACATGGTTCTTCATGGTCAGTTTGGAGTCAAATTTCACCCCAAGGATATCAACTTCTTCCCCAGGTGCCAACACCCTCCCATTCATCCTTACTACTGCACCGGCATTAGCATCATGGTGCCTAGAGACCATCATCATTTGCGTTTTCTCAGGTGCAAATGTTACTTGCCATCTATTTCCCCAATCTGATATAGCTCTTAGCTGGTGATTGAAGTAGCTTAGAGCAGCTGGCATTTCTTCTCTTGGATAAGTGAAAGTCAGTGTACAGTCGTCTGCATATGAATGGGATTCTGGGATGAGATGAAGGTCATTGAAGTAGACATTCCATAACAATGGTCCCAGAACACTTCCATGTGGAACACTTGCCCCAATTGGATGTCTTGCTGATTCTGTTCCGTTGAGAACTACCCTTAGAACATAAAGGAGGATCACTGCAGCAGGCCTGTTGGCCCATACTAGGCAGGTCCTTTACAATCCATATCACTAACAAAACATTTGCCCAACCCAATTAGAGATCTACCATGAAGGTAATCACTGAGGAGACATAGCATAGAGCCTGCAATTCCCAGAGCTTGAAGTTTTGCTAAGAGGCCCTGGTGCCACACCTGGTCGAAAGCACCAGCAATGTCCAGTGCTACTACACAGCTGACTTTGGATTCATCCAGTGACTGATGCCACTTAGTAGAGAGGTTTAACAACAGATGAGTAGCAGAGTAACCTTTCCTGAAGCCATGTTGACGGTCACAAAGTAGTGAGTGGTAGTCAAAAAACTCATTTGTCTTGAGATTATTGTCTACAGGATCTTACCAGTGATTGACAGGAGTGACACTGGTCTGTAGTTGCTGATTTCTACTCTGCTCTTCTTTTTGTGAACAGGGACTACATTTGCCTCTTTCCACAGAGAAGGCCATTTACACTGTACTAGGCAGTGCTGAAAGATGTGAGTTAGAGGTGCTGCTAGCTGGTCTGCACATTCTCTCTCTCTCTCTCTCTCTCTCTCTCTCTCTCTCTCTCTCTCTCTCTCTCTCTCTCTCTCTCTCTCTCTCTCTCTCTCTCTCTCTCTCTCTCTCACACACACCAGTGAAGAGGCGGGGCCAGGAGCTAGGACTCGACCCCTGCAACCTCAACTAGGTGAGAGCACACACACACACACACCACACCACACCACCACCACCACCACCACCACCACCACCACCACCACCACCACCACCACCACCACCACCACCACCACCACCAGAGTGGTGGAGCACCTGGAAAGAAACAAGTGTATAATTGACAACCAACACGGTTTCAGGGAAGGAAAATCCTCTGTCACAAACCTACTAGTTTTATGACAAGGTGACAGAAGTAAGACAAGAGAGAGAGGGGTGGATCGACTGCATATTTTTGGACTGCAAGAAGGCCTTCGACACAGTTCCTCACAAGAGGTTACTGCAAAAGCTAGAGGATCAGGCACACATAACAGGAAAGGCACTGCAATGGATCAGAGAATACCTGACAGGGAGGCAACAAGAAGTCATGGTACGAGACGAGGTGTCAGAGTGGGCGCCTGTGACAAGCTGGGTTCCACAGGGGTCAGTCCTAGGACCTGTGCTGTTCTTGGTATATGTGAACGACATGACGGAAGGGATACTCAGAAGTGTCCTTGTTTGCAGATGATGTGAAGTTAATGAGAAGAATCAAATCGGATGAGGATCAGGCAGGACTAGAGAGAGACCTGGACAGGCTACAAGCCTGGTCCAGCAACTGGCTCCTTGAGTTTAACCCTGCCAAATGCAAAGTCATGAAGATTGGGGAAGCGCAAAGAAGACCGCAGACACAATATAGTTTAGATGGCCAAAGACTGCAAACCTCACTCAAGGAAAAAGATCTGAGGGTGAGTGTAACACCGAGCATATCTCCTGAGGCGCACATCAATCAGATAACTGCTGCAGCATACGGGCGCCTGGCAAACCTACGGATAGCGTTCCGATACCTCAGTAAGGATTCGTTCAAGACTCTGTATACCATTTACGTCAGGCCCATACTGGAGTATGCAGCACCAGTTTGGAATCCACACCTAGTCAAGCACGTCAAGAAATTAGAGAAAGTGCAAAGGTTTGCAACAAGACTAATCCCAGAGCTACGGGGAATGTCCTACGAAGAAAGGTTGAGGGAAATCGGCCTGACGACACTGGAGGACAGGAGGGTCAGGGGAGACATGATAACGACATTTAAAATACTGCGCGGAATAGACAAGGTGGACAAAGACGGGATGTTCCAGAGAAGGGACACAGACAAGAGGTCACAATTGGAAGTTGAAGACTCAGATGAATCAAATGGATGTTAGGAAGTATTTCTTCAGTCATAGAGTAGTCAGGCCGTGGAATAGCCTAGA